TGCTACATCAGCCTGTTGACAAGGAGAAATGGACGACGGAGCCGGCAGTGGTGAATGCATTCTACAATCCAAACAAGAATGATATAGGTATTTTTTTGCGAAAATAAGCTGTGCCTTTAAAATATTTCAATAAAAGCAATTTACAATATTTTTTAGTCTTTCCTGCGGGAATATTCCAGCCGTTATTTTATAGCAACAATTATCCGAAATCTGTAAACTACGGAGGAATCGGTGTCGTAATTGGACATGAAATTACTCATGGCTTCGATGATAAAGGTAACGTGGGGAAAAAAAAGGATTTTTTATTTAGAAAACAAGACTTACTTACTACGACATGGCAGATCAGAGGTTCAATACCACGCCAACATCTAAATTAGAAAAAGTTTTTTTAAAACAACGGTTGAAAAGGTTTCACATAAAACCATTTGTGTTTGGAGGCGGCGAAAAACGATGGGTGCCTCCCGCTTGTGTGGCAACATCTAGACGCACAGCACAAATCGAAGGAGATTCCCGCCAAATATTTATTTATCGGTTTTGTTATCGATGCCCTTACATATATCGATCTCTCTATTGAAAGCAGAAAACATCAAAAAAAAATCTGCTAATTTAGAGAACTCCTTTAACCCTATTTATAACCGACTTCAAAAAAAAAGGCGAAGGTTGATATCCGATCATTGGATCATAAGCAAATTAACGATTAGTCCTAAATTTTTATATGAGAATTAAAGTCGGTTGTGTTTTTTTGTTTAAAAATTACTTGTTTCTTATACTTATTATAATTTTCATTAGAAATAATTAAGTACATATTCATAAATTTTTCATTGGATCGTTTTTTTTTCTGTCTCTCTCATCGTGATAGGACGCCAATTTGACAAGGATGGCAATATGATGCAATGGTGGAACAATGCCACGATCGAAGCTTTCCGTGAACGCACGCAATGCATAATCGATCAGTATTCCAAATATAAGATCGAAGAGGTGGATATGTATGTGAATGGGCGCATGACGCAAGGCGAAAACATAGCGGACAATGGAGGACTGAAGCAGGCTTTCCGGGTAGGTGATCTATTTGAAATCTTCAAAATCTTCTGAATTTGAATTAAACAGTTTGCCCGTTGCGTTACGTAGGCCTACAAGAAATGGGTAAAGCGGCATGGACCTGAACCGGTTTTACCCGGTCTCAATCTAACACACGATCAACTATTCTTCTTAAATTACGCACAAATTTGGTGCGGTTCAATGCGGCCCGAGGATGCGGTCACCAAAATACGCTCTTCGGTGCACTCACCCGGTTTCATACGTGTACTTGCGCCACTTTCCAACTCAAAAGACTTTGCCGAGGCATACAAATGCAAACTCGGCGCGCCGATGAATCCGGTGGAAAAGTGTAGTGTGTGGTAAAAACAAAAACAAAAACAAAAACAAAAAAACAAGTTCGCTATATACATACACATAAATACAATGTATATGTATGCATATGTATAGAAAATTAACTAAATAAATACCTTTATAATTTATATAGTAGTACACAAAGATTGTATAAGATTAAAAGAAAGGATATGACAAAAAATGTATTGGGTAGCACAGTGTAATTTAGAGGCATAAATAATGAAAGCGGTTTGCTTAAAAGAACAGAATTAGTATCTAATGATTTTATTTTTTTATAAATGTTTCAAAACATAAATTATGTAAAGTCGTACTTATGTGAACTAGGATGGTATATATAGTACATATACATAAATATATCATTTAATATATATGTATACATATGTGCATAAGCGCTCGTATCTATACTTATGTTTGATTTTAATACTTTTATTAGATTCAAAAAATGGATACTGCGGTTATTTCCCAAAAATGCTATATTTATATGAAAAAATACTTTCCTGCTACATAAATTTTTTAATACACAAAGGTGGTATAAATTTATAATAAATTTCACTAGCTTAGAGTGTACTGTAAAAACTTATTTTTTTTAATGGAGACTGCGAAACGAATTTTTTCCGCAGTAATATACAGTTTTTTGACCGAAAAAAATACGAGCCTTATACATACATATGTACATATGTTGGTATAAATTGTTAATTTGAAACTATGAAATTAGCTAATATTAGGTAAACATCATGCTTACAGGTTTGATACACACCCACACATCCATACATACAGCTAATCATACGAAAGTACCAAACCTACAAACCATAAGTAAATTTGCGAATTTGTATAATGCAAAAATATACATACATACATACATACATTCATACTTACTTACATACCTACATAGATCTAGCGCAATTCAGTAATTTTTGATTAAAAACCAAGTACATACATATAAACTACAAAGTCATTCATTGAAGCAGTTATAAATTATGTATACCTATCTATACATGTATGTATATGTGTAAAGATTAAAAATCGCATTCATACACTTGATATGTACTTAATTTATAGTTTAGTAAAAACTGAAGAATAAAAAATAAATATAGTAAATTTCACAAAAAAAAAATAAAAATAAAGATTTTATCATTCGAAGATTAATCGCTGAAGGAACTCAAAATTTGACATACATACAGTCACGGGAAAAGGTATAGGCACAGAGAATTTTTCACAACTTATGTAAAAATTTTGTTTTTAATTTTTTCTATAAAATATAGTTCATACTACAACATAAAACATAAAAGTAAAATTTTCGAACTCTATGCAAAACTTGAAAAAATTCAATAAATTTTCGAACATACTTTGATTGAAATTGTAAAAAATCAACGGTAAGTAGCTAGGTACTGCAAACTTGCACTTTAACGTACTAGAATTGAATGGACTACGGAACGGCAAACTCAAAAAAAAAACTTTAAATTTTTTGGCAAATTTCAGAGTTTTGCACAAAGTATGGAAAATGCCTGCGAAAAAGTCGAAAATTGTATGCTCTCACCCCCTAGGATTTTTCTATACCGAAAAAAATAACAAATTTTTTTATCTTGAAATGAAACATTATAGGTCCGCCAAAAGTCCGAAAAACGCCATGGCAAGAGCCAATACAAAATCGTTAATTTTAAGAAATGGTTACATAAATAACTGGGTATTATTATTGAAAGTATCCTTAAGAGAACCAGAGGTTTCCGATCGAAAAATATTGACTTTCGAGAATTCTATACCATTTCTACGAAAAGTTGTTTTTTAACCATATTCCATAACATGGA